TATATATATATATGTATGTATATATGTGTATGTATGTATGTATGTATGTATAATTTTTTTAAGGCTTTAGAAACCCTTCCCACACTCTTGCAATGTTCTAAACTCTTAAACCTACGTCATTTTAAACAACATAACAACATACGTACAGTACTGTATATGTAGCTACTAAATTTTACTTACCAGGCTCTGCAGAACATAGAAACATCTCTCTGTTCAGGTTCTGCAGACGTACCCTGCAGCAACAAAGCCCACAATCAATATTCTAAACTCTTAAACCTACTAATTTTAACAACAAACTTATATGTAGCTACCAGATTTTACTCACCAGTGCGTCCCTGCTCTGAGGTCCGTGGGCCAGTTGAAAGAGATGAAAAAAGTCCCGATGAGCTCCGGAAATCGCCCGGACCTTCAGCGGCGCGTGTCCCCACCTGGAAGTCCTCGTGGGCCGGCTACCAGCTCTCAAGATTCACCGATGGGTCTAGAGGTCTGGTTCTGCTCCGGTTCTGCTCCGGTTTGGTGGGTTCCGTGCGATTCTCAGCATCCGCTGGGCGCCGAACTCACTGTAATAAGCACCAAAGTTTTTCCGATCACAATTTTTTTCCCCCTCTAGTCTTTCAGCAGAAGGAAAATGTTTTAGTTTTGCTTAATGCGCCTTATAATCCGGTGCGCCTTATAGTCCGAAAAATACGGTAAAAGGTTCAGTTTCTTGGTTCAAGGTATAAAATTCTAATTTAGATTTCTGACACGAACAAATGACTCAGCAGTTATAACACGTTACATCTTTTCTCAGCTGATCTCATGAAACAAAAACATTTTTTGTCCGCTCTCCTTGACTTTTTTTTTTTAAGGGTTTTGCTGGTTTGGGATCGCACCTTTTATGAAAGTTCAGTAAACATCCGTCACATTTTATATTTCTCCCTCTCTGCTTCAGGATGTACCCAATAAAAGAGGTTCCTGTGGAGGCGGAGGCCCTGACCGACTGGCTGTATCAGAGGTTTGTGGAGAAAGAGGAGTTGTTGGCCCATTTCTACGACACAGGTAGGTCGGACATCAGTTTCTATAATTTCCTCCCTTTTCAGCTAAATAAGTGCACGAGTGTATTAGCGTGATTTCACAGTCAGTTACCGTATGTTTTGGACTATGACACTTAAAATCCTTGAATTTTCTCAAAAATCAACAGTGAGTTTTATAATCCAGTGCGCCTTATGTATTAATTCTGGTTGTGCTTACTGACCTCAAACTGATTTTATGTGGTTGTTGTGAAAGAGTTGAATAAAGTTTGACTTATCTGACTGTTTTGTTTCGCCTAATGCGCCTTATAGTCCGAAAAATATGGTAAATGACTTATCAACTTCTTTTTTTTTTTTTTATCTGTCTGTGCTTCCCCGCCCTCCAGGATCATTCCCTCCTCCAGAAGGACACAAGGAGGCAGTTTCCCGGCAGATGACCCTTGACCCCGTGTGGCTCTGCATGGTGCAGTCGTTCGCCATCGCCTCTGGCTACATGTGGTACAACGTCCTCCAGTACCTCTACTGCTGTTTATTTTGAGCGCGCAGACGGAGTCTCAATCAGACCGCCGGAAAAGCCTCAGGATCGGACGGCGTGTGGCCCACCGTCACACTTTCCCCCTCCTCCCCCCCCCACGATGGATGAATGTACATCTGCAACAGTGGAGACTTAAGGAATAACGACAACAAAATAACAACTCAAATTGACAAAAACCCGTACAACATGGTCACAGAGGTAGTTAAGTTGCACACAGACCTAATGCCACACTCTCGCTCCAGCAGAATAATCTCCACCCACCCCCACCCCACTCTTTTCACATTTTAATGTTTACACATCCCTTTCATGTAGACACAGGAATTTCATTTGGAGTTAATGAGGCCTCCTCCAGCAGATGCTCTGGACTGATTGAGGTTTTAGGCGCAGTAGTTTCACGCAGCACTGACGGATGCTTTCGATCAGAAGCAAAACACTTCTTCTTCTTCTTCTTCTTCCACGCGAGAGCCGTCAAAGCCCCCCCCCCCCCCCCCCCCCCCCCC